AAACTGATGTGTGCGGTTTGCCGAGAGGGAGAAATTATGTGTGGTTGCAGGTGCTGATACTTGTTTTCATACGGCAGGCAGTGTGGCGGATAAAACTGCTTGTGTAGCCGTTCTTCTTGAAGTCAGTGAAGACGGTTTGATCTTTTCTTCTGTCAGCCCTGACTACCGACGCCGTGTGACTGGTCAGATAATTTGAGCTAAACTGGAGGTATCGCCCATGTGAGTCGGGTTTCTGCATAGACGACCTAAGCACGCGTCAAATTGAGCCGCCATAGCAGACCTTCTCTTGTCTTGCCGAGATGCCGAGCAACTGAAACGGGCATTGATGAGTCTCCACACGGGCCTATGCTGGGAAGAAGGACACGGTAGAATCTAAAATGGTAGTTGCCTGGCCAGCTGTGGTAATGATGAAGTGGAGCGAACGGAATGAGAGGAAACAAAAACTGAAGGTCGGTTATGACGGCGCCCGTGCACAGCCTGCCTGAAAGCGTCTATACAGGGAATCTGAGCTCTTCTTTTTGTCTTCTTTATTAGCACATTCAGAAAACGAAAGGTATTGTACTTTTCAGGTCCCAAATTAAACTGAATGACCGTCTCGCTGGAAATGAGGCGCGTCAGGAACTTGTCCACTTCGGTTGTTTTTGTTTAATATAGAAGCAGTCGTCTATATACCTCAAGAACAGCTTGCGACCTGCGGCGAACGACTTCAGCGCGTTTGTTCAATGGCTTCCATGCATGGTTTGTCGAGTTCATGGGTTCGACACCACCAAAACGTTGTTCGCAAGTTCGACCACGAGAGCAGCGCGGTTGCTGAAAACTGCTACGTCAAATACACCGCATTGACTTTATGAACACCCACATTCTCGACGTTGAAAACAACCACCGACAGCGACTTTACTTAGAGTCGTGGCACATAAAGACTGCGCCATAAATATGAATAGATCTGTCGGCGCTGTAGACGGTTTGCACACGCGGCAGATTGCAGCAGCTATTGCTGACCTTATCTAGTCTTACCCAGATGCCGAGTCAGTGAAATGGCGTTGACGAGCTTCCACAAAAGCTAATGCTGGGGAGAGGGACTCTAAAATGACAAGAACGTGCCCTGCTGTCGTCACGATGAAGTGAAGTAAATCCCATAAGAGGAAACAAAAATTAAAGGTCAGTCATGACGGTTCCAACGCACAGCTGCCGCAAAACGTCTATACCATTAGCGTACGTCCACGGGCTCCACCACCGACACAAAAAAAAAAAAAAAGCTCCACCATAAAAGAAGACGAAAGCGAAAACACTGTTCCTTAACGGCGATTGCCAGAATCACATCTAAAGAAAAGCCGAGTAGGCATCGATACGTAGGGTTCCCTTTTTATCTAAGAAAAAAACTACCTGTTCTTGATCCCGCCCAAAGAATGTAAAGTAATCAGACGCCATACAGAAGACAGCGCCCGCATTTGCGGTTTCGCAGAACTCCCATGGGCAAAGATTCCTCGCCCGCTAGCAAGCAGAGACAGACAGGTGCCGGCCAACCCCAAGTCGCAAAATTGCGTCCACCCACTACACCCGAGTTAATCTTATAGCCTTCGAAAACCCGAACAACGCGGCGATAAAGTAAACCAAAGGGTTATTGCGGTGAGCGTGCCAATCAAGGGGCCAACGCAACTGGCTGACGGTTCCCTGCGCACGCGAGAACCAGCAGCAGCGCCGAAACAAGCTCCACTAGATAACCCCCTCAGCAAGAACACTATAGGCGCGCCGGAGAAGCCGCTGCTGTCGGCAAACAAGTAGCGGACGCGGGCAAAAGTAAGTACAAGAACATACGGGAGGGAAAAAAAAAAAGACGAGCAAAATAGGCGGCATGCCATATAGTAGATGACAGCTAAGGTCCTGGAGGGAAAAGCTCATCTGCCGTGAGGAGCACTACGAGGTGCCATTGAAGACGGGGCCATCGCGTGACTCAGGCCATAATGGATTTCCCTCCTCACATGCTCTCCTTCGCGTCTAACACGGCAGGGTTGCGCTTCCCTTTTCTTCCCTTCGCGTCTCTTGTAATTTTTGTTTCGTTTCTGCCCTTCTCTCGTTCTCGCTTCGTCTGAAAGAGCTTGTAGTGCTGTGCCCATCGGTGGCCCAAACTGCGTATCTTTCAGCTTATTCGGGAATAGCCGACGATGTCGCTAGAGTAACGCCCGGCTCCGCCGTCATAAGTCGCTTCGATCGCTCGCCTTTGTTCTTGATGTGTAATGAATGATGGAGTAGCGGTCGTCTGATGCGCTCCACGTGGTTTGTCAATCGGCAGCACGGCGAACCTAATGGGAAATTGAAGCGATGATGTATTCGAGAAAAAATAAGCACTAAAACCGTGTTCATTTTGCCTTCAGGGCTACGAAAATTAAAATTATATTTCAAACTAATGCTGGAAGATAGCCCCAACAGCACTTTCAAAATAGCTCTAAACCCCTTCTTCCCGGCGCTTTCGACGGTGAGAGAGAATTGTGGCGTGTTATACAGACCTCTCAAGATTTTCATGCCTTCCGTAAGCCTTACCCGAGCAATCAAAAACGCTGCACGCGTTCCCTACCAAGTGGGACACGTAGGGTGGAATCTCTGTGTGACGACCCACCCAGCGGTTTTTGTTTTCAGTTTTTCTCGCGTCTTTTAGTACACTCGGGTCAAATGCTTGTGATATTCAAATTCAGAGGATAAAAATAGGTAATAATTGAACTCTTACTCGTATTTTTCAAGAACCTGTTTTGATTCTCTTTTTATAAGGGTTTAAACGAACGTGAGGGGTCATATTGCAACGCAATACAGCGCAGCACGATTCTGTGCAGTATTGTCACGAATGGCAATTAATGAAACGACGATACGACTGAAGGGAACTAAATGTTTAATGGGGCGAACTTGCGCCTAAAAGGAAATAAAAAAAGGCTAACGTCGCAGGCGGCGTAACAGCAATACCAAGCGCTGGAACGAGACTGACCCCGGCCCGCCACGCAGAGCCCCTTTTGTAACCTCGTGGGTTTTTGGAATATTCGACCTAGAACATTCTACGCGTTGAACATTTGTAACTCGATCAGGCGACAACATTCTGAAACTTACGAAAACACTAAAGTGAAAGAATGAATAAAGGGAGCGTCCGTTCCCCCAGGAATCGAACTTAGGGCCTCCGCGCGAAAGTCAAGCACGGTAACCATCCCGCCAATTAGGCTTTTTTTTTGTTGAACCATGTAAGACAAGCACAATTGGCCGCAAATTCGTACGATGTGAGCACTAGCTTAAGCCGGACAGCCGCCACTGACTGAGTTCAGCTGGAATTCCCAGCAGTGAGCTCCGCGCTTTCGGGTGCGTTCGTGGTGGCGGATTGGCAGTGGCTACGAACCGTGCAGGAGTCGCTCGTCACCCCGGGCCACCAATTGGTAGGGGTTGTCCTCTAAATCTAACAGGTAGGGACAAGACACGTCCGACACCTGGGTTGTTAAAAATGGGTTTCTTTATTTTTATTTTTTTTACTTCTGCCTGCGGATACATGTTCCGCAGAGGGGGTCTAAGGCTAAAGGCACGAGTGCCTGACAAGGCCTTAACCCCCTCTTGGTATGCAGCGAGCTTCACCTTATATGTACAATATATTATATCATATAACACATCCTACATATCAAGTACATATACATTAAATTCATATAAGTTCAATAGCGAAATTTAGTACTGCCAAATATACAGTTTTATAGCCTAGACATACTAAAACAGTTAAGTATTAGATACATATACGCTGTAGGATCCAATAGTCTAGATCAAAACAGTTTTACACAAGTTTATACAATATATAATTTGACAAAATTGTGTAAAAAAACATGAAGCTACAAAATAAATAATTTCAAAATACAAATAACATTTTTATACAATAACCTTGTATTGACTGAAAAGACCGTTTGAAAGACGAAGTTGGGAGAAAGGTAAGATCATTGCTAACAAAATAGCATGGCAGTTTCAAGAAAGACGAGCAGTATCTAACAAAATGTAAGACCACTGCACAGGAAACTTGGTTTATAATCTCTTTTAAATTGGGATACTGATACATCAAAGTTGAATTCGAGTACGTCACGATTCAAAATTGTAGCTGTTCGGAAGACTAAAGTTTGCCGTCCGTAATTTGTAGGGATGCCGTGAACCACCCCAGGTTCGAATTCGAAAGGTTTCAATATTTTCGAACCGAACTGATGTTGGAATTTGAAAAGTTTCAATATTTTCGACCGTACGGAGGTTCGAAATCAAAACAATCGCAACTTTCAAAAATCGTGGGATTTCGAATTCGAAAAGTTTAAAGCTTTCACTGTTTCTATAAGTCCGGCCCCTATGAAAATGGTTAATGCCATTTGAAAGTCACATTATTGCCAAATGGCAACAGCTGTTTACAAATAGTCAATCAGCAGGCAACAGATGTTAATCGTCATTGAGACGTCACCCTGCTGACCCGGATAGCCATTTCGCCACCGTCAACTTTTTGCCGTTCTATTGGTTATTGTCGGTGTATCATCAGTGTATCTACATGTTAACGTTAAATGGCTAAAGGAGGCAATCAAAGGACTATACATTTTATAGCCTTTTGACTGCCTCCAATAGCCAATTAGCATTAGCATGTAGATACACTGGCAATGCACCGACAACAACCAATAGAACGGCAAAAAGTTGACGGTGGCGAAATGGCTATCCGGGTCAACAAGATGACATCTCAATGACAATTAACATCTGTTGCCTGCTGATTGACTGCTCTTAAACACCTGTTGCCATTTGGCAATAATACAAAATGGCATCAACCATTTTTATAAGGGCATAATTATCACATAGACGTCATTTGATCGAATTTCGTGACCATTTCGCCATTGTCAACCCCTCGTAAACTTTAAGCTGGCCAGCCGAAAAACTGCAATAGTTTACATGGCCTACCATTGATTCCATGCCTGATACACATAGTGCCGGCTTGCAATATGGGAAGAAAACAAAGATTGAAGGACAATTTAAAGACCCAAAATTTATTTATCACAATGTCATTAAAATGACGTGTTTTTTTTCAAGACTAAGTTAATCACCCAAATGTAAACGATGAGTGAAAAAATAACCTTTCCTTGCTTCCTGACATGTCTGTAAGGTGTCAGCTGAAAGAAGAAAAACATTATAAATTAAGTGGGCATATAACCAGAAATATTCTTGCAGCACATTCAAAAATATGCACAGAAGAACCTGGCTCAGATGTTTTCTCGGCTGTTATGTTCACGGAAACCGGTCCTATCGAACGTCCAAAAGTATATATGCGTTAGAATTACAGGCTTCATGAATTCCCTTCTTGGTTCTTATGCCCAAACACTGCCACTCAAGGTGGCTGGCATGACTACTAGGAACACATACCCTGTTCCTTTTGTTTTACTCCCTTTATTTTACCTCCTTGCCTCTCTGCACTGTGTTTCTTGCTTGGTCCTGTATGACAATAAGAGATTCAGGCTCTCACGACACCCCATTTTTCTTTACCACCTCCATGCCACCATGTTCAAGCAGTGCTGATTGCATCAAGCCCCACTGCTTTGATGTGGCATGCAGGGTGCAGTGATTTGTTTGAGGCAGCCGTGGTTTAGCTCGATGGGCTCAGAATTTTTGCATCCTTATATTTCAATATTTTTTTAACTGCAACGATAGACAATGCATCACTGCGATGGCGCGGCTGTCGGCACAGCACATGTACACACATGTCTGCTCACACGAATCTAGTTCCTGCGTATGCAGTGCCCATAGATGCTGTGGGCAAACACAAGCTTGTCTGTATACAGTGTGTTACTTATAGTTCAACCACAATTTTAAGAAGTGTTGAAAAAAATTGTCAACATATAAAATAAGGCAATCTTTTTTACAGCCACAAAAGCTAAGGTAAGATAAACAGAGAATACAGCTTCCTGAAAAATCTATAGCTATCCCAAGGGCATTATCAGTTGTTACATCTTCGCTCATGTCATGATCCTTTATTGTGACTGCATAAAGATGCAGCAGCAGGGTTCTACTGTATTTCACACAATGTTTGAATGTGCAATAGCTTTAACTTCCACAACACATCAGCCAACCACAGGTTGTTAAAATGTCAACTCCACAATAATGTAATAAGTATGAATACAATAATAATCCCTGGAAAAGGGGTACAAGGGGGAGAAAGGTCAAAGAGGAATCTCCTTTGTCCCCTTGTTCCCCATTTTATTTGATGTGATTATTATTGTCATTCTTGTCTTCAATAAAAGGGTCTACTCGTGTCTCTTAAAGGGGTCATGAAACGCTTTTCCAACTTTTTCCTGTTTAGCTTTCCTCCTCAACTCATAAATCGCGCATTCCACCAAACAGTTAAAGAAGACGAAAAGGGGGTGTCCCCTCTTGTTCGCGCTCTCGTTTGTGTAATCCCGGACACATCCATTCTCCCCCTAGAAGATTAGCCCGTCGCTCAAAATTCAGACAAAAGTTGCTTTCCCCACCCCGTTCATTCCGAAGCTGACAGTGCTGTTGAAGCTACGTGCTCGTTGGGCCAGCCACACTTCCCACGTGAGCGTGGCAAATGTGGCTGCAGAGAATGAAGTCAGGTGATGAAAGGGAGGCGGCTGATTGGTCCGGCAAGCGCGTAGCTTCCACCACAACATCAGCTTAGGGGTGAAGGGAATAAGTGAGGTCCGGTTGCGTGTGACGTCAGTTTGGACCCGTTGACGCGCTTTTGGGACCGCGGATGTATCACAGTGAAAAGGCAGAGAGGTTGCGAAGGGGAGGAGGTACGAAATAGTCCGCTCTGTTTTCAAATTTTCGCACTGAAAGTCAGGCTTTTGACTTTCTACCTTTTTTCTTTTGGTCCACTGAACGATGTGCTATTAGTAAAATCCCAATCTAAAATGATTTATCCCAACCAAAAAATCGTTTCATGGGCCCTTTAAGAGAGGGAAGCAGCTTACCTGGAAGAGCATAGCGCCCCCGGGACAGAAATCGAGAGAGGCTGTCCTCGACTTGCTTCCCCACATTGCTGTACTCCGTGAAGCTGCGAGCTGAAAGAGCAAATGAGAATTGCAATTTAAAATGATAATAGCCCCTAGAAAGCTACACTCAAGTATTGGTACCCTTTTCCTCATTGTCCAGTTCTGCCAAAACGGTCATTCATCCATTTGGATGGTGAAATTCGTTCATGCGCATGCAGCTTCTGGGCACTGCCATGTTGTTATTGCGTCATTACTTGAATTTAATGTAAATATTCACTTCACCTTAGACAAAGATTTATCTATTACTTTTGATAAGATCATTGGATGCTTGACAATTTTAACAGCAGCCTGGGGGGCGCACTCATAGATGCACCACTCTTCAATCAGTTTGGGGAGTGCGTCTTTAAACGCTCACTCTTTTTATCGTACGGGAGGAAGCACCATCTATCCCCTAACATAGGAAATCATTTTCCTTTAGAAATTAAAGCTATGATGGTAGCACAAGAAAAGTTTCGTACAAAAAAATATAGGCAAAATAGGGACAAAAAACTTTTTTTTGGTCATGGGTCCCCAGTCACGGGGTCAAGAAATAGATTAATCTTGTGTGTTAACATTTTTTTCAAAGCAAAAACATGACAGGACTATGTTATCAAGTGTATAGCTCTTTTTACTGTGGTCATAATGAGGTGGCATAGCCTTTGTCATTTGCCCAATAATGCTCAACAAACACAAAACTAAAACAAAGATTCTCGCAGACCAAGAGCCATTACTACATGCAGTGCAAGTTTTGAGGGTAAACATTTTGGCAGAGGCCTGCCTGGTCGGGAGAAAGCTTAAAAACTCAAAAACATCCGTCCACACACCCGCATCTGTGTTCCCTACATAAAGGGGACTAGCGAAGTGCTGTCATGTATGCTGGTAAAAGAAAGTATTCAGGTGTCCAACAAACCAGTATCAACACTTTCACGTATGATGCTGCGAATTAAAGGTCATCCCTCTAAACAAAGAGCGCAGGGCATTGTATATTCAATTCCATGCCACCTACATTGGAAAAACAAAGACCTTCCCAGAAAGAATTCAACAACACAAAAACAACTGCAAATTCGACCACGAGCGCAGCGCTGTTGCAGAGCACTGTGAGGACAATGAATATCGCATCAACTTTGCCAACACCCTCATAAATGTTGAGACAAACTTCTGCCAGCAGCTTTTTATAGTCATGGCATATCCAAACAACACCAGGAAACATCAATAGATCCACTGGCACATTGCCATCATGCTACGTGAACGGACTCAGCCACCTAACGAAGTGAAAAAAAAAAAGAGACTATCGTGGAAGAAAACGAAGCTGTTGTCCCCTATCTGGAAGCAGTCACCCCTGAAGAAAAAAACAAGCTGTTTTTGAAACGTTGAGACCTTGTTGTAGGATATGGTTGGTGATTTTTTTCAAATTCCAATGTATGAGTTTTGCATTTGTTTGAGTCATCATTCACTTTTTTATCATATTTACCCACATAATGAACACACCTCTTTATTCTGAAATTGACATATATTTCGGGGGTGCGTTCATTATGCAGGGTAAATTTCTGCATTTACACACTTTGCGAAAATGTAATTTTAGGTGGCAGTATGACACGGCAAGGTACTGTGGCATGTCTCCACTGACGGAGGCGCATCGACGGCTGGTCGTGGGCGCGCTACAATAACCATGTTCTACAATTTGAAAACCTTTTTTTAGGGTGCTTTTGGTGTGCCTTCTGTCAAAGGAAAAGCGCCCTCCTAGTGAAGAGTAAAAAAATCTTGCATGTAAGAAATTTAGGTGTCCAATAAAAGCATATGACCAAATAAGATCCTATAAAAACCTTATAAAAACGTATAAGAACAATATAGGAAATATATAAGGTTATATAAGAAGTTTTAAGAAACTAAAAAGAAGTTTCTTGTAACTTCAAATATAATTTTATATTGTTCTTATATGTTTTTATAAGGTTCTTGTATTTTCTTATATGATCTTATTGGATCATACGCGTTTGTTGGACATAAAATTTTTTTATACATTTAAGATTTTTTTACTAGGGAAGCTCACTCAGCATGGTGAGTGACGCGACCGTCCTTAGGCCTAACCACTTTCACGATTTCACTGTCCGAAAGCACGCTACATATGACCGCGTGTTTGTTGACATCAATGCATTCAGTGGGCGAAACATGTCCAAAGCTGGGCAATTCCTCGACCCCAGCTTTGTTACGTGTATGCGCCGCTCGGTTTCACTCTTGATCACATCCGCAACTACACACTTGCAGCCATGAAAGCATGTACCGCTATGCTTTGACTGGTTTGAAGTGGCCTGGCCGCTTGGTGGCGAAAGAAAATTGGCTTGATGGCTAGCCGAGTTGGATGTAGTTTGAGACTCACGGAGCGAGTAGACACGGTAAATAAAAACATTCTAAAAACTTCTCAGGTGTTCCTCAAGCTTTGAGTACTGTGACCTATTTAAAGCTTGAGTAATTAACATTCACCTCTAAGCTGACTGTGGTGGTAACTACGCACTCACCGGATCAATCAACCACCTCCCTCTCGTTACCGGACCACGCCTTCTGCACATGGTTATGGGCGGGAGTGTAACACATGGCGAAAGGTAGACATATGACTGGTCCAACGAGCATGTAGCTTCTACTACGATTTCAGCTGGTCATTCAACAGAGTATAGTGATGCAGCACAAAAAAATTTGTGCCATTTCAGAATGTCTGAAGGAGAACACACCCTCAAACATCCTGAAACTGTAGAGAGTTTCCTGCAAAGCCACTCGATTTGATTGGCCAAGCAGTAAATAAAAGGTACACTCACCAAAGCGCTGTGTCGCCCATGATAAGCCTGCAACTCCCTTCAATAATTGGGAAACAACCAAAAAGCCACAGGAATGTAACACTGGATCCTGAAACAGAAAAAAACCCAGCAAAATGCAGGAATTAACACAATATACAAACCGCTTCAGCGAGTGACACTTAAAACTAGCTACAGTTCTTTGGGCACCGTCTTTTTATTACAGATAATTGTGAGTGAGGACGTGCTGTCATTATTTTTCTAGCCCTGTAAACCTTTCCCATTCGAAGGTCTCCGACGTCGGTTTCGCAAACTTCATAAAATCTGCCATTGCTCCATTATTAAGTTCTAGAGCAAGTGACAAGTTAAAATTTCAATGGTGGAGGCTCACAGACATTAAGCACCTGCTTCAAGCCCCTCGGCTGTCGAGAAAACACTATGTCAACCGCTCCGAAACATAGGTTTTGTGCAGAAGAGAGATTGAAGTATGCTACAGATTCAGTAGAACTACATCATATTCATCAACCATTGCTAGCCGATTCACTATGCGACTCATCGTGAAAACGAGACTTGGACTTGGCCAGGGCAATATGTTTTACAGAGAAATGTTTACCGATTTGACGGACGCTGTCATTTTATTAAGCAGCCTTATATATTTGCTCTTTATGAAGCAGATGAAGAGGAGCAAAACACAAATAGTGCTATGGACAACGGCAAGTTGAAGAAGTGATAGGACAAGCGCTACTTGTGGTTCTTCAACTTGTCCTCGTACTGCCATTTGTGTATCACTATTGTTTGAGCAACTTGTCAAGCGGTTCAATTTAGTACCCGTGAAGCGGCTTGTCAGTGGCCTTGTCACTAAAGCAGGGAACATGCAGACAACAAATCACTTTGATGGTGATGACCACAACATTTTCATGTCATCTCAGAAAAATCGCCCCCCCCCCCCCCAAAAAAAAAAAAGCTGATCCTGCACTTATGTTGCAGAATGTGTGCATCGTCTGATGGCAGAGACTGGAGGGTCACACTGCAGTTCTCTTCGTGCGTTACACTCCCAGTTTCAATGCGGTGACCAATAAATGTTTCGGTGATGCAAAAAGATAGAAAGAAAAAAAAGACATTGCTCTGAATATTTTGTTGTTCCCCTTATTTAACTTATCAAAACAAATTTCCCGTTAATTGGACCTCAAGATAAACGTGACACGCCCACCTATTAAGGATAACAGCAATCCAGTCCTCGTCAAATTAACTGAGGGCAATAAAAAAAAAAACAAGGAGGTCATGCAATAATTCTATAGGGCAATGGCAACGGTCCCAGGAAGATATGCTTCAGTTTGTGCAGTATCATTGATTTCCTCATTAGACAAGTGTCATCAGCTTTGGCCACTGCTCATGCATTACATTTTAGAGTGAAGCACACTGTACAATGGCATGTTTACCCCATGACATGCCAACCTTTTGCTGGGTTCCCAATTATCCTGAATAACACAAAAATTTGCAAATAAAAGAAGCAGTTAGATCAATAGGTCACAAAAATCTATGTGAAACGAGCAGTCTAGATCAGTGCATGCAGGGTGACTCCATGTGGGGCTGTATAGGAGCTTTACAACCACCCCAATAGCTTGTTAAATCAAACCCAATTATCCTCTGCTAAATGTGTGAGCTACATGGTCTTGGTAGACAGTTCAAATTCCTCACTTACCCTGCATATAAGTCCTAGAGTTGTATTTACAGTGCTTGCGTTTGCTTTGGCCTCCACCCCCCCCCCCCCCCACCCATTTTCTCCCACACTAGGTGGCAGAAACACTGTTCTTATTCTGCATGTGGCTGATTATTAAAAGCCTTTTGGCTTTTCAATTTAAGTAAATGCACATATTGAAAAGGAGCGTATTGCCTAGTAATCAGGTCTACGAGAAAATTTTGAAGTGTAGAATATATGAAGTTTGCTATACCTATGGCGGACAATATTTACCCTCCAAATCAAAGCAGCACCAAATGTGTCAGCCATGTGCCCATGACAACTTCAGATGAGACTAACGACAAATGCAAAAAGCATATGATAATTACAGAACGACCCGATACTATGACCCAGAAAGTTGAACAAGCTTACGTGAACACGCTTACAAAAAGATTGCCAAAGAATCAATGGAAATAAAAATAGGAAGACTTGACTGATCCTCTCTGAAGTCCCGATCTTGGTACCAATAGCATGCATCGATGCTTACAATCATGCTCTGCGGTGTGGCCAGAAAACACACCTGAGTGAAGCTCCCAATCATTATGCTCTTAGGTGGACAAAAGGCTCACTTCAAACAGCTTTCAGCAATAAAAAAAAAGCATGCCAGATACTAACATAACATGGTTTCCCCAAAAATAAAACATAAATCTCCAACATCTTTAGGGGCTAAGGAAACAACCAAGGACGCACAAGAATGAAGCACCTCATCCCAAAGTGAATGGAACGCCAAGGTGCAACACATCGCTCTCCTAAGCAACTAACACTACTTACAATTTTTTGAACACCTTCCTGGTAAACTAAGAGCGGGAATATTAATTATAATTACATGTAGTGCATCGCCTTCAGGATTGCTGGATGATGTGAAACTCTGGAAGATCAAGATTAAAGTGAGCAGAAATTTTTTACTTGGCCTGAAAATCTCTCATACTTTGTATCTTGCTCAGAGTTAAGCAATAACACCACAGCTATCTACTAACACATTACGCCTAGAAAGTATCACCTACGTAAGACAAGAATGATTCAGACACTACCTATTGTTAGCGCCATTTTGTAAAAGAGACTTGCACAGTCTGCTCACTTTCCATGTGGCACACCCATGAGTTCTTTCGCCGGGCAGATGTGCCAGACGCATATTAAATCTCTCACACCGGCCTCCATGTCCACAACAAGGCTCTAACATTTCAGAAGTGTGGTCACATGGCCATGCCCCTCTGCAGATTGACTGCTGTGGTGACATGTAGCTCAACAGCGGTGGACTTCTACTAGAACCTCAACATGGAAGGAACGAATTCCCAAGGGCTACGGCAGAATGTGCGGAACTTGAACTGACCGGCTGTGGCAGCAAACCCTCTCCAAGTTCCAGCCACCATTTCAACAGGGACGACGGGGAGCACAGGCTTTGTCAGTAGCGACGGCACCCCCACGAGCCAAAGTCCGTGGCAGCACCTGCGACAAAGAGCCCTTGCATAATCCCTGTCACCACTCCGGCTGGGATCACAGGGAGCACAAATGATGGCGGTGGAGCCACCACGAGCCAGAGCTACGTGGCAGCACCTGCAGCAGCGAGGCCCCCACAAGTATACCACTCACCATCTTGAATGGGAACTCGGGGAGCGCAAGCGTTGGGAGGTGACAACAGCGCCACCACCAAAAATGATGTGGCAGCACAAGAACCAGGTTCTGATGACAACAGGCGCTGACATCCAAGTCAACTTGGTGGCTGTCCAATCAAACAGACGTGACGCGTACCTGAGAAGGCAAATAATGTTTTGTAGTGATCGAAGTGGCCAAAAAGTTGCCAAGCGAAACTCAGCATTCAACTCTAATGATGAGCCACGCTGTTTCGACTATGATCGACATATGTCTGCGAATCGCTCTAAACCGCAGAAGTGTGAAGGCTGCATCAATTTTAATAAACATGGACAATTAAAGGACCATTTTTGTGTGCAGGCAACAAACTGCCAGCGAAAACAGTGATGAAAACTCAAGTGAGTTACTCCGACACTGCTAAATAAATAGGACAGCTTACCATTATCTCCTATTGATATCTGCCATTAAGCCTGTACCTCAGCACTGTAGGTGATGTCAGTGGTGTCCGTCTCAGGGAACTCAAACTAGTAGTTCACTGAGCAACTCCTCCTTGACCAGGCCTGCAGCGATTATAAATATGAAGAACAGATATATTACGTTACATAAATGACACAAGATAGAAAAGGCACAGACAGTACCATACCTTCCAAGTTTGGGGACACCAAATTCGGGATAATTTCTAAGCAGGGGAGGGGGGGGGGGGGTGTTTTAAAAATAAATATTGAGAACAAATTTGCATGAAGACAACTTCATTATATTTATATATTGCACTGCCTATGCTCATGGGATTGCAGCCGTCTACAGTGATGGCAAAAACTCTTCTTTAGTACAAAAGAGAGGGGGAGGGTAATTTCTCTTTTCGGGAGGTTTTTCTGTCAATCATACAAACTGATCAAAATTTAAGAGACTTCTGGGTAATACGGGGAAGTTGGCAGGTGTGCAATACTAAACAGACACAATTCGCTACCGGCAATGGCAAAAGAGAATGCAGGTTGGATCAGCTATGCATAAAGGTACTTTGAACAACATATACCATATAGAGTGTACTCACGCAAGGCTAGCGAGCGGTGCACTCTGGGTACATCACCGTATTTGTGTTCGTGAAAGCAGACAGCGGAAAGCGCACAGCCCCACGGGCCACACTATGAAGCGAGCATTCTACGGTTTAGGTGACACCACGCATGAAAAAGATGTCGCTCTTGTGCGACAGTCTGCTGTTGCACAAGGAAAAAAGATGAACTGGAGAAAAAAAGACAAGGACAGCAGGCGTTGCAGACTCCCAGTTTCTGCAAATCCCGAGAGTCCGAACATGCGTGCAAAATAGTTTGGACACTCCACTTGAAACGAGAATGACTCACTAGCATCATCGGGCAAAGCCCACACAAAAATCATGACAAGTGGAGAGTATGTGTGCATGTTAGTGAAGTTAATTAGTGCCCGTCTATTTTGTGTGTCCAAATAAATAAATAAATAAATAAATATATATATATATATATATATATATATATATATATATATATATATGAGTAAAGCTATATGCACTCCGGAATGCACTTCGGACGGAAATGGCTATACGCACTCCGCTTTTCTCGCATAAAACGAGTGGTCACAACGAATTTTCTAAGCAGAGGCATGGCATAGGCATGGCAAGTGGACGCGGGTTCCATCCGCAGTGGGCCTGCTTTTTTTCTTTTTTTTTTCTCAAACATTTTGTTTTGTCGACGCATTTGGCGATATTTAGGACATTTCTTTTTTTTTTTTTTTTTTTGCGATAAACAGTAAAAAAAAAAAATCGAATGTTGTTGAGAAACTCGCAAAACTAAATGGTATGGGACTCCCTTTCGAGGTGCGATCGGGGACAGCGGGGCTTGGATTGCCGGCTGGACGCAGCGAAGCGGCGTGTACTGGGGGGCTATGTTGCGCTTTTTGCACTCCTAGGAGACTAGGGAGAGGGAAGTGACGTCAACGACACCGCAAACGCAGATTGGGTGTTGATTTCGTTTTCTTCTGTCAACATCCAATCTGCATTTGCTGTGTCGTTGACGTCACTTCCCTCTTCCAAGTCTCCTGGGAGTGCAAAAAGCGCAACATAGCACCCCTGGTTACGATTTGTAATTAGCAGCCGATACTGTCGCCGCGAAGCGGCGTGAACGCAGGCGGGGGGCTGTGTTAACGAGCTCCCCAGTGATACACGCGCCGTTCTAAAAGGGTGGCCCGAGCGGCATGATCTCTCGGAGGAGTGCGTATAGCCATTTCCGTCCGAAGTGCACTCCGGAGTGCGTATAGCTTTACTCTCTCTCTCTCTATATATATAGCGCAGTAGATCAAACGGCTCCAACCACAATGTTTTCTTTTTTTACGCGTTTCGCTCGCGTCGCTTGAGATCACCCACAGCGATAAGACGCGCGGGCCGACAAAGAAACCTGGCCAGTACAGATATGGGTAGGCAGCGATGCGTGCCGACGCGAAGTGACGACCCACGTGCAGATAAAACGTTTGACAGGTCGACCGACGTGTTGGGTGACCGAATCATGGCTTCGCGATTAGAACTCGCAACCCGTCGGACGGTTTGACGAAAAGCGCGAGGAGAGATGCTCGCCTAAGGAAAATACCTGTCAGAATACACTTCTCGGGAGCGATTAGGCAAAGGCAGGGCAAGGAAACAAACCAAGGAGATGCTTGAACGGAAGCTTAGGAGGACACAGAGAAAAAAGGCTTACCTTCGAGAAGCACCGAGGAATGAGCCAATTGAGCAGTGCCCATAACCTCCAGGGCTGTTCATTCTTGCTCGCGTGGTGCCTCGCCACTTATTAGTCGCAAAATCCATTCTCGGACGCGGCATATCGGATCGATATGAGTTCTACGTAAAAATAAAAGACACACCAAACCGCAACAAAGCTTCGGAAGCTTCGACGCAAATGAAGTTTAGGGTGGATTGGATTGGCTTGTAAAAGACTTTGTTTCGAGGTGCATAATAAATGCGAAAATAAAAGAGTTAACGTAACATTATTCGTAAAACAGTGGCGAACCGAAACAATAAAACGTTTTAACAAACTTAAGAAACTAAAACAAATGTATTAAAATAAAAGTTGTATACGCGATACGAAACTTCGCTTAGCCACACAACTACGACGGGATTTTAGTTTCGGTTTGGAATCGGAGGCTGCGTATTTTCGACACCGATTGGATATCCAGGGGGCGTGGACAATGGCGTCATGGACGTAAAAATAGCAGCTTTTATTTTGACATCTTAGTTATTTTTACGTCAACAACACGTTTTCTTTGGATGCCGCTGACTGCATTGTGAAATGTCGCTAGCTCGGCGTGTGTGTGGCCGGGTGCTCGGCTCGGCGGCTCGGCGGTGTCCGCGCTGGTGCGTGTTGTCAACATTGCCGCCTGTACTCGTCGCGTTCTTAGGAACATCAAAATAAGCGTTCTCCATTTTCAAACTTCGCCCGGTGCCGTCCGTCACTCCTGTTGCAAATGAAGATTGCGTGTACCGGAGGCGACAGAGCCCAGTCGCAGTAATTTCGTACGCATTTTTCTGGAGCTGTACTTGTGTGCAGTACGACGGATTATCACCCTTGCATAGAATAGCTGCGAAGGCCGTGCAAGCAGCGAGCGAGTAGCCTTGACTGGCATGACTGCACCCGATGCTGGAGCGCTCGTGGCGCGCGATCCAAAGCAACGAGCTCGCGCTTTTAGCACTGTCGTCGACAGCATTTTTCTTTTCTTTTTTTCAGTGTTAGTCATAAAAAAGATATGTCGTAAATATCGTCAAATGTCCCAACAAAACAAAATGTCCGAAAAAAAGAAAAAAAAAAGGCGGCCGAGGCTGAGGTTTTTAGGGTCTATGAAGTATTTTTTTTTATTTATTTGTTTGCCAGTTTTTTTGCGTCCCTCTTTGAGTACTGTCGCATTTTTTTGTATTATTTTCACGTTTATTTTTCGTTGGTTTTACTTCGGATATTATTTGCATAAGCATTTTTGAGCTGACTTCGCACCTGTGGATATTGTCATGATGGATTCGGGAGCCCATATTCGGGTCTTATAAATTTTGAGCCATTGTAATTTCAACTCACTGTAAATAATTTAGGAAAAAATGAAACGTTTGTCTGTAAATATGGTTGTATTAGCGCGTGTGGATGTAGATTGTAGTCATATATTAACACTATTAAAATATTCAGATATGGCTAATTGTCACATTTTTATTTGCCTTGCTAACAGAAGTGTGTCAACCAATTTTATTTTAGTGATCTGGTGTCTTCGTGTATATAAACTAATGTATTATTATTTATTGAAAATATAAGAACGTAGGATTTCATTATCCCAAATTGTTAACTTCTCTCATTAATTTAAGAAAATTTACAAAAAAATGTAAAATTCGTGACATATATTCGGCGATTCAAACATTTGGGCAAGGAATGAAGAAATGCGTTGCATCCTTAACATGTTGTTTGAAGTTATATAGACGAAAATGGTCGCTCCCAGAAATAAGTAATTGTAAAGTAATTGCATTACTTTTTGATGTAATTTGTAATTGTAATGAATTATTTTTCACATAGTAGTAGTTGTAATTATGGTTAAACTACTTTTGGAGCGAAATGATTGTAATTGTAATTAAATTACATTTTGGGAAGAAATTTACCATGTATGGTTTTCTTCAATTTGCCGCGGAACACAAGAGCCAATTGAACCTCTAGCGTATATTATAACTATGGTTTGTACCTAAAGTTTGATTTACTTGCAGCAGAATTTGGCCGGTATTGCACTGCCACCGGGGGCGCTTGATTGACAATAGGATGAGTATAAAAAGACGATACCCGAATTCTGTATTGACACCTGCCAATAAAAAGACGCTAAAGGGTTCTTTCGCCATTTGATTGCCATTGTAGCGCCTACCACGTCAGTGCCAAACTTCAATAAAGGGGTAATACCGTGTCCATAAATTTCAAGCGAGAGCAATCGAATGGCGATAGGGGCAATAGAATGTCAGTCAGATGTATATTGAATGGCGGAAGCCATTTTTATAGGGGGGGTTCGAGTATTTCGAACATCTTTTTACTTGAGGTTCAAAAATTCTGAAGATTTCGAGCTTTCCTAACTTGAAATCGAGAGATTCGAATGTTTCGAATTTATTTGGATCTGAAATTCGAAAAATCGAACGTTTCGATTTCTTATAGACACAAAGTTCGATAAATTCGAAGATTTCGAATTTCCTTCTACACAAAGTTCGAAAAGTTTCAAGGTTTTGAATCTCTTTTAAGGCTAAATTAGAAAAAAAAAAAACTTCGAGGGTTTAGAATTTCGTTCAAGTCCAAGCGCGCAAAGTTCGAAATCCGGCTTTCATGTTCCGCCACCCCCAGTTTCAGTTTCAAATAACGTTTTCACGCCTGACTGGTTTTTGCGAAATCAGGTTTAGAAAAGTTCGGGTGTGATATTTAGACTGCGCAAAGTTGGTCACGCAATTAAGTGAGACGACGAGTGTCCCGGGTGTACTGGAATATTTGCCAGTGCAGATCGACGTGTAACCATAGATCCGTAAATGTGACCGCCAGCCCGGGGGGGGGGGGGGGGGTCATTAACGTGCATCACGAAGTAGTGATCACATGAACAGACTGTTTAAAGATACTCATCCAGTTCGAAACTGCCAGGGGCCGGCAGGTGGTTGAGGCTCAGAAAAACGTTGAAGCGATTTGGCAAACTGCCTCCCTACCCCCTTGTACGCTGGTAGTAATCCGATCGAACACCGCCCGAGTGACGCTGGCATATAGTAAGTTTAGTTTGTACATGATGCAAAATCCTGAGACTGGGAATAAAATTTGAAAGGAAAAGTATAAGAAGACAAAAAAAAAGAGGGGGGGGGGGGGGGGACAGGACAACGCCTCAAACTCAGCTCTGGGAATGAAATTTGAAAGAAAAATTGTAAGAAGAGAGAATAAAGGGGACAGGACAGCGTCTTCAACTAAATTCAGCTGAGTTTGAGGCGTTGTCTTCCCCCTTTTTTTCTTTCTTCTTACACTATTTCTCGCGAATTTTATTCGGAGTCTCGGAATTTTCATCATGATCAACATACACCAGCTCGCCTGCACCTTGATATATTTTTTAGTTTGTAATTGCTTTGGAGTTTTATTTCTCGGGATGGAAGAAACGCCAAGCCAAAAGCACAGAAGCTGACACAACTTGAGGTCGAGGAGCGTTCTACCATACCAATGGCGTCGGAAGAGGAGAAAGGGGGGGGGGGGGGGGGGGAAGGCTCCAGTATCTCCCCCCCCCCCAAATATTTCGGACTGTTAAACAAAACAATACGGGGAAAGAGGGAATGGTCGAGCTTATTTAAATCTGAAATTATTTATGCATATGTATATCTATATTGTCGCTCTTCACTGTGTAAAAGATCGCGTAGACGGTCATTGTTAGAAACTCGTTGCAGAAGGCACTACTCGTCACATGCTCGGTGGTTCGGAACTTCAAAGCTATGTTTTTTTGACCTAAATAACTGTGCCATTGGTAAAAAATAATCAGTAAATAAGCATAACTATAAATGCAAAAATAAAAAGCCGGAGAACAGAAAACCTATCAAGAACCCGCGGGAAGTGCTGTATTCTTGCATATTCAGAGGCCCAGAACTACGAACCAAGTTTCTCCTACCATAATGCGTACAGGCTAAAAAGAAACACGTTCCAAAAACGTAAAATAAATTTTTTATTTATGACGTGCTAATTTAAACAATTTTAGAAAGCTTCCCCCATGGGTTAATTTATTCCTCAACGTGAAAAAAAAACAATAAATACATTATATTGTCTCCTGCAGATGGCGATGATATGTACTGACTGTGGTGTTAATTTAAATGAGATACCTCGAACAATTTAGACGAAAGAAATTACCATGTTTAAGACATAATTGCCCGTAGATACAGGTTTGGATATTTCCTCGAAACTCGTCTTGAATAACAATAATCATATCTTAAGACGACACTTATCTAGGCTATACATAGATCATTCTTAAAATGCTTAACATCTCTACCTTAAATAGCTCCCGCTATAGCTCGCTTCAAATATGTCACAAACGACAATTGTCAAAAACTGGTCGTCCTTCCTCGCTCCTTCAGGAATCTATTTTTTTAAAACCAAGCATGCCAGATAATTGAAATAAACTGCCTTGTCTTGCGCAAGGAGTCCGGCGCCGCATGTAAAATTGCGAAGAAAAAACTAGGAATGTACTTCACTACTTGAACCCAAATGAAACCGCCCGCCGGTCTTTCGAAGTTCGACGAACTTCAAACTTTTATTCTAAAAGTTCGAAGATCGTCGAACTTTTTACGTTTCAAGAATCAAAAGTTCGACAATTTTCGATTTCATTAGATTAATAGGTTCGTAAGTTCGAAAATTATCGAATTTCTTTGCGTAGGAAGCTCGAAAGTTCGAAAAGCTTTGAACGTTTTAGTGCAGGAGGTTCGAAAGTTCAAAAATCATCGAAGTTTTTAGTCTATCAAGGTCGAAAGTTCAACAAGTATCGAATTTTGCAGCGTAATAAGGTCGTAATTTCGAAAAGCGTCGAACTTTTTTGTTTAGCGAGTTCGACAATTCGATTTGCATCGAATTTCTCGATATGGAAAGCTCGAAAATTCAAAATCTCTCCAACCTTTCGAACCGCTTGATTCGATCATCGAACCTTCGGTCCGAAAAAAGTTCGCGGCATCCCTAGTAATTTGTTCGTAATATACGTACTTTACGTTGCGGTCGTTGAGAATCGTACACTGGTGTTAGTTCACTGTCTGGCCTTAAGTAGGTTCTATTTCTGTGGATTAATTGAAGCGGTTTAAAGTAATATATTTGATTTGCCCTAAGCATGTGGTGTTTTAAAAACAGAGATTCCGTACGTAGATTTCTGTAATTTTCCTTGTAGTCCTCGAGCACACATAGAATTTTTTTTAAGGACCATTAATT